TGTTAAGTGTTAGTAGAGCTGGATTTACCCTGAAGCTCATGAAACTTAAGCATAAAGGTTGCCTCATTTGCACAGCTATCTTCCCCAGAACAACCTTAGTAATACTTTTATTCATAATTGTGTATAAAGAGCAACTGTCCTCTAATTGTCAAACTTGGATTTTCCCTTGCATGCTGTTATTATTGGTGTTGTTGTTGTAGTAAAAAGATTAAATATTTGCCCCAGGGCCCACAATTAATAATGGCATATCTAAGAAAGAACCCAATGTCCACTGGAATTCTTAACCAAGATATTTTTCTGCCTCTTTCTAGAATTTTCCTTTGTCTCATGAAGTATAAGTATCCTATAGAAGGAGAACAAATCCTCGTATCATGTAAGAAAACAAATATTTCCTAACCCTATTTCCCTCTTATCCCAAAAGAAGGGGGAGATTCTCCACACTTAGCAGTGGGATCTATAGTAGCCACTCAGCATCCTCAGGCAAACCTTATTGATATACATGGTTGCACTCAAAGAACTGAAGGGAAGTAAGAGCATGTCTGTGAGATGAGTTACACTGTTTCTTTGTTTATTTTCTAGCAGAAGCTCAGTAGAGTCTGTTTGTCAGATATGGCCCTTCACTATTTGAAAGCAAGGAGTTGAGCCTAAGGGCAGGAATAATGAGAGGTCAACCTTGAACTTATGGATTCATTCTTTAAGTTAGCTATGCATCCACTCAATACACACGTACCGATCCAAGTACTCTATGGGGACCAGATGTATTTGAAGAGTATATGCTGAATTCATTTATTCAATCAACAAATATCTGAGAACCAACTTTCCCTGAATACCTAGAAAGGAACAAGATAGGTTAAGATCCCTGCTCTCACTGAGTCTACAAAAGAGAATTTTTATAGCTATCTTAAGTCACTTTATTTATAAAAACAGAGGCCATTCTAGCCTGCAGATATAAACCTTTGAGGATAACTTTCCTGGTTTCTCAGCACATTTAATACCCATTGATCATTCTTATTCTTGAAATATCTTGCTTCTCGCTGCCAATGCTGAGCACGTATCCATGATTCTATTCCATTTACATGACATAATTACTTTGCCCTTGGGTGACCATCTACATTAGTAAGTTTTCTTAAATAATAATCAACAAATATGCAAACTTCCTCTAGAAGGTGTAGAATTATAACAGGTTACACAGGAATGGAATCTATTTGTTTAAAAGGAAATGTTAGGGATGCCTGGGTGGCTCAGTCATTAAGTGTCTGGGATCAAATCATGATCCCAGGGTCCTGGGATGGATTTCTAAACTTTTTTTTTTCAAAAAGTCCATTTAATAACCTTTCACCTTGACATGTTTCATGAATTGATAGAGTACATAATACAACCTCTTATATAGTGGATTTTTAAGTTGACTTTAGTCATTTGAATAACAATTCAAGTTTTAACCTAGAGCTCAATTTCACTGCCTTCAGTGCTCTTGGTATTTTTTTGGCCAGGGATAAAGCATTCCAGTCATTGTTCCTAATGGGCTATCTCCTGCCAACTAATAACTACTTAAGTTACCAAGTATCATCAGGGGAAATCTCTTTCAGAAACTCCTGGGAACTAAAAAGATGTATGTACTCAGATACTGTGGATTTCTCAATCCATTTTCAGGAATATTTTAAGTGTTTATTTGAGGTTAGACAAAATAGTACACGATAATTTTCCATTTCACAAATCAACATACTTCTAATTTCAGGGAAAACATCCATCTTGCCAGCAACTTTTACCATAACTGCAAAATTAAATTCTTCCTTCTGATGAAGCATTTGTGGCATTGTTACTACAATTAAAAGATTAATTCTGATTACAAATATAAAGGATCTAAGATTGGCTCCATTTCTTTTACTTCTATGAAAGTTAGAAATGAAAAGCATACAAAGTTTGTGTGCCATAATACCATCATTTGTGACCATGCATTATTCTCAAATTCCCCAAAGACTATTGCCCCATTTTTTAAATTTAAATGCTTCTTAAAATTTAGAAAAGATCATGTAGTGGGGTAGGATTAACTTGGTGTACAATTCCATAAAATTATTTGTCTATTTCCTTGGGTTTTGGATTATATCAAATGTCAACCAATCCTTTATGAAGCATTCACTTCTATACAATACCAATCAAGCTCAGAAGATGAATAGAGAATAAAATAGTAACTATGTTTTTATGATTTAATTTACAAATTATGAAAATAACTGTATCATGGGTCCAGAATATGCCAGGCACTGTCTTAGGCATAAAAACACAATGGTGATTAGACAGATATGGCACTGCTCTAAGCTTTACAACTTGTATTTTCTAAAAGATTTTATGCCTCATACTTAGAAAAGACAGAAAGAGAATAGATGCAGAAAAGTTCAATAAACAAACTTTGTCAAAATTTTATGATCTCAAATTCCTAAGATTCCTTCTAGTAATCTATATTTTTTCCTGCTTACAAAGATGCAATTATGTTCAAGCAGCTCTTTTACTTGTATAAATTATATATCACAAGATATACAAAAGCATTGCTCAAATTCTTTCTTTGCATCCTATGAGGAATTTTATATATTTGAGGAATGCCTTAGCTGTTATCAGATAAATGTTTTATCATCAGTCACATTTGCTATCAAAGGATGAATCTCTTGTCATTTAAGGAAAGATACTTAGTTTCAGTATGCCCAAGTAAGATTATTTAAATCATTATGGAACCAGATAAACAAAATAGATAGACTTAATCATGTCACTAAGTTTCATGTGTAGTTTCACCTTTGAGAAAGTACAAAAACAAAGCAGAACAAAACAAAAATACCTCATCTATGGTAATTACTGGACACTGAAAAATAAATACACATTAATTCTGTTTCAATATAACACGTGGCTTATGGACTGCTTAGTTTAAGACACTCATATTTTTATCTTTCTGACCACTGCTGTGGCTTACAAATTCTTAAGAATGGGAAAATACAAATTTATAAAGGGAAGCACTCAATTGTTAGAGCGACTTACATATATCCTCACTATTACCACTTCCATCAAAACACATTCCTAATAAAGCATCACCATTGGGAACACCATTCTGTTTTCTCAGAAGAACTTGAAATACTTTTAAACTCCTTATTTTTTGTTATTTCTTTCCATTTTTTCATAATTTTGCATAAAAAATGTTATATTAAAAACTGTATCCTCACCGCCCTGAATGAAAGCCACTTTTATGGGTAGATGAAACAGTGGCAAAATTGAGATAACGTAAGTGGACATGTACTTCCGTGAGGGAAACTCACAGGGATGCACACACAGTTATTTATACTGAACTGTTTATTTGGCACACAAATGAAAGAATTCTAGAATTAATAATAATCAAAATAAAAAACAAGAACACACATACACAAAACAATCCTGAACTATAAGGGTGTATTTAAAAGGATCAACAAGACCATGAACTTTCCCCAACTAATTTTTATATATTTTGATGGCATTCTTACAAACATACTTCAGAAATAATTCTACTGTGTAATCATTTAAATAGTAAGGCTTTTCTATTGGCAGGGGAAGGCTTTTGGAATTATTTTTTAATGCATTGATACCACTAAAGTACAAGTCTATTTTTAGTAACCATCACTAACTTTTTTAAAAGAATATCCAGACATATTTCTTTATTCTAACATATAGTTTCACTATCTGCCAGAAATGTCATGTATGTGGTATATTACCAAATTATTAGCAAATAAAACTGGCTTAGGAAGTTTCATAGTACTGATTATGGTTGTTTTCCTTTCTTAAGCAAACTTAATGAACTCAATCATGAATACATTTAGAACAAATTAAAACCAGAATTTTTCAAGTAGACATGTAAGCACAAAATGTGAAGATTTACTTTAAAATTATATCATCATAAATTATCAAGCAGACACTTTAAAATAATTGTGTCATTTCCTACCATGTAATTGTATGCTTTTAAATTTACCCCGAGTAAATTATGACAAGTACTAACAAGCATGATGGAGAGAAGAGTTATGGAAAAGCCCTTATTTCAAAATAAATATACTAAGAGTAAAGCCCATGTCTAAAATTATCCTCACCTTGTTTTAGCATATAAATGTAACATTCGGGGTGTTAATAAATTATTTAGTAAGACTGAAACACACATACTGGCTCAAGAAAAATCTGCATGTGTGAGAGAGAGAGAGAGAGTAATAGAGAGAGGGAGAGAGAAAGAGAAAAACATTTATTTACACATTTACACAAGGGCACTGCAGGCTTGGAATAGCAAAAAAAAAAAAAAAATCAAAACGAAATAAAATTGTAGCAATACGGATTAAGGAGGAGAGCTGCTTGAATCCTCTTTTGGTGCCTAAAACCCTAAAACCACCTAAAGCTCTCAAAGATATTTGAAACAATCAGTTTACAAAAAGTTTCTTTAAAGAGTATTTTCAGTTTGGGAAACTTTCCAGGTTTCAGTAATGCCCCTACTCTAAGGGGAGCCAAAGCATTGTTTCCGGATTGTATCAGCAGCTGTGTTTTTCGCTCTAATTAGTGGCTAATAAATTCTAGTTATATCTTCATCAAAATTTTAACCCTTCCTATGATATGCTAAAATTCCATCTGGACCAAAATGAAACTTGCCTTCCTACTACACTCAAATACGCAAGGCAACACAAAGAAATTTGGTGATGGTAGCTGTGGAACCAGGACTGGCTAAAGGGGGAAACAGAATCAAAATAATACATATATATGAGATGTATATATATATGATATATATATATATATCATATATATATAAATGATCCTTGAGGTTGAATAATAGCCTGGCCAGCTGAATATAAATACGGAACTTCATTCCCTAGAGCTTTTCCCACTCCTAGCAATTTTCATTAGAATCTAATTGCAACAAAACACCTACTTTCACACAGAAGCCCCCCCCACCCCCCAACCCCGCCACACACACACACACACACACACACACACACACACACACTGAACCTTACCTGTTTTTATGCCGAGTCTTTAGCAAGTTCCTTCCAAAGGGAGCCATGGTCCACCAGGCCCCCAAGAGAAAGGGTCTTATCTCAAAGTTATCTGGAGATGGGGGTGGAGGGGTGGGTATCCGGATTTCTCGGTGAAGGGAAGAGGATTGAAAGTTTCCTCTTCACCTCCTCAAACGTCCCTGGCTTTCAGCTCATTAGCAGCCGGCTAAGAGAGTTGCTAGAAGTTGTGCAACTGCTACCTAACTTTGAACTGCTGGATTGTTGTGGCTGCTGCACCTTTGGAGACCTGCCCAGCTTCAGCCTCGAAGAAGGCGTTTGGAAGCAGGAAAAGAAAAAAAAAAAAAAAGAGAGAGAGAGAGAGAGAGACAGCGAGAGAGAGAGGAAGGGAGGGGGACTCTATTGTGTTCTGTAGTTATTTGCAGACTTGCTAAAACTTTAAGAACTCCCAACCCCAGGGGCATGGTAATACCCATGGAATGGGAATTTCACTCCGTTTGGAAACCCCCCCTCCCCCGCTCTCCACACCCAATCACACAAGGTGAACTAAACACACAAAAGGATTAAAAGTAAATATACCCCTACCTCCCAACCAGCTCCAGTCTGTGAAAAGTAATCTGATCGTGGCTAGCGAGAGCGAGGGCCAAGAACTTTTTCGTCTACGGGTTCGACATAAAAATCCCCCGCTGGGGGGGTACCGGAGCGGGGCGGGGGACGGGGGGGCGCGTCAGGGCTGTAAAATACATTGAGGAGAGCCAAGCCGAAGACTGAATCAAGGTGGACTCAGAGGTCACTGGGAAATTGGAGCCTAAATTTTCCCCCAGCTCCACCGCTCCAAAAGTTGGAGGAGCTGAAGGACCAAAAGGCTCCAGCGCGAATAGATGACAGCATGGACTGTAAAGAACCAGCCGGGCTTTGGAGGCGTTTATACAGACCCCTGACGGGTCTTTGGCGTTTAGTGAGCCTCTGGGGCCCTCCGAGTTTGAAGGAAGGACCAACTGTTGGCTCCTGCCTCTCAAAGAGTAAGTGAGAGAGGACGCGCCCGGAGGACTTCATGGAACTCGAAGTGTGCAGCGCAGGTGGAGGGATGAGGGCGGGCATCACCGAGTCCCACGCGAGCTCGAACCCATGACCCGCGTAACTGGGGCGGAGCTGGGCGAGCGGACGTCGGTGCAAGCGGCCAGGCCCAGTAGCCACCCAGCTCTCCCGCGCCCGCCACACCAGGAGAAAGCGCAGTCCACGACCAAGGCCCGGAGAATTTTCCCAGTGCGTTTTTTTTTTTGGGGGGGGGGGCGTTCGGCCCCCAAACCAACTCCCTTCCCGCCTGTTCTTCCCCCGCCCCTTCACCTTCCCCCCTTTCCCACCCCGCCAGGCAAAGCCAAGCTTCCAATCTTTGGCTTCCGCAGCTAGAGGAGGGAGCGAGGGAAAGGAAATCGAAGGACTATGGGTTCATTCTGACTCACCCTTCAAGCTAGTGGATATCTGGATCTTGGCAGAGAACCTGAATGGCACACAATTTCTTTGAGTTCACCTCACCCCCAACAACAGCAAACAAAAAAAGTGACCTTAAGGGTTTCTAGAACTCTTATATGCATCACTTTAGGCAAGGTTCTACAGAGCTCCAAAAAAATCATGTTTTTCCAATATTTACTATAATTGCTCTCTTGTTCTCCGAACGGTATACATGTGTATTTTTATATGTATATAAACATATATGTATTTTATGTGACATTATTTTACTTTAAATCTGTTATGTATTGTTTGTAATTGTTCATAAATGTTACATATAAATTCCAAGTTGTTATAAATTAGAAAAGATTACAATAACCAGTGCCTTCAATGGTTATTGTAGGTCAATTCAATGACCGTTTTTTTCAGTTATTGGAAGAATGGATAATTTTAAAAAAGTATACCCATCTTTTAAATGGATCTATAGTAGTGTTACCAGAGAAAACCTTTGAAATACCAAAAGCAGTGATGATATATTTTGGTTTATACATATATATTAATACATATATACACACATTATTTAATATAAATAATGTTGGGTATACTTTGGTTTCAGTTTTTATTTTATGTTACAAACACATCACAAAAACAATGATATAAACTATTACGGAAGATTGCCCAGTTTTTCTAAATTGTTCAAAATATAATCCGCTAAAGCCATACTCTACTTATTAATATACTCTTTGTAGTCAATTTACAAAGAATTTTGGATTTACAAATATCCCTGTGTTTCCTCGAGTTTCGATTCCCCACCCTTATTAACATTACTTGTATATATAGTTTTCACATAAAACATTTTTCATTAAGAGAGTTTTAATGGAACAAGAGGAAACATTACATCTTTATTAGCATAATCTTACGTTGAGTTTCAAGTTAGTACAGATGAATCTCATTTAGGATATTATTCCTCACATAAAATATTCTATTAGTACTATTTATGACAAGCTCTTTGATGTATAAGAATAAAACACAAAGGGTTAATGTCCCTTAGATATTAAAAGCTGAAAGTAATAGAAAACATTGGCACTGATACCTAAATAGAAAAATAAGCAAATAATAATTTTAAAAGAAAATAATAAAACCATGTTTTAAAATATCAACTCTATAAGTAACCAGATATATATAGGTAAATTGAAATGAGTTTTTTTATTTTGCATCTACCAGATTGCATGATTTTTAAAATATGATGCCCAACTCTATCAGTATGAGAGTAAGAGTAGACTTCGCTATATGAATAGTGCAGATAGCCATATCCTTTGTAGAATTGAATTTGGCTCTATATCTCAACAATCTTAAAATATTCAAACTCCTTTAAGTTTATTCTCATAAGAACGTTTTCCAGGGGCACCTGGAAAATGGCTCAGATTAACCACCTGGCTCAGATGGTTAAGAATCTGCTTTTGGCTCAGGTCATGGTCCCAGAGTCCTGGGATCCAGCCCCGCATTGGCTCCCTGCTTGGCAGAGAGCCTGGTTCTCCCTCTCCCTCTACCTGCTGCTTCCTCTGCAAGTGCTTTCTCTCTGTGTGTGAAATAAATAAATAAAATCTTAAAAAAAAAAAAATGTTTTCCAAGCAAATAATCAGTTTCCTAAAAAGCCTTATGCTTATTGATATTCATGAGAACTAAGTAAAATATTGCATACAAAGTGTAGACACATAGTATTAGACAAAGTATTATTTTTTTACAGGGTAGAGAATAATATGAAAAATTATCTTAACTTGAAAATAAGACAAACTGATGAGTGCATGCCTTTTCAGTGATAAAGCAAAGCATTGTGTAATAGTTCCTCCCAAAGATTATCCAGTCCTCTGGAATAATGCATTTTTTAACATGCTATTTATTATTGATTAGGCCCCAATTCTAAGAAGATAAATGTTAAAATATTTTTCTTAAAAAGGTAAAGTCGCAAATTATTTTTGTTCAGAAATCAATACAAATGATTTTGTCTGGTAGAAAGATAACACAAAAGGTTACGGTTTTATTGCCCTATATGATCTCAACCTATTTTTATTTCAGCATTCTCTCTTAAATTCACTAACTATATATAGCAGTCTTTCCTATCCACCTCTGGACCAGCTTTGCAATTCTACTAGATCCCTCATTGAAAAGTCAAACCTTTGACATATGCCTACTATGTATTTCCATGAGATTCATGTGTTTCAGTTTTTTTGAAAATTATGCTTCTTAAAAAATATTTTATTAATTTGACTGAAAAAGAGAGCTCACAAGCAGGCAGAGAGACAGGCAGAGAGAGAGGGGGAAGCAGGCTCCCTCCTGAGCAGAGAGCCCTACGTGGGGCTCGATCCCAGGACCCTGAGATCACATCCCGAGCCGAAGGCAGAGGCTTCACCCACTGAACCACCCAGGTGCCCCTGAAAATTTTACTTTTAATAACTCTGAGCTTATATCAGTTTTTTTCTGAACCACTAGGAAGTCTTCATAAAAGGAAGATGGTTACTTACCTTAAAAGATATAATGTGTAAAAATGCGTTTTGTTGGTAGAGAATAGTTAGAATGTCCTTTCACTCATCTATGAATACGAAGCTTGCCTAAAATAAATAGATATCTATTTCCTTACATATTTTGATTAACATATGAAAAATCAACATGGAAGATGGTGCATTACACTTAATGAAAGACTGAATGAATATTCTTCAATCAAAGGAGGATTATGGTCTGTGGTTGGGTTGGTATCAAGAGCTAAATAGTGTTAGAACATGTATGTTGAGGAAAAACCTTTTTTTGAAAGAGAAAAGAAACAAACAAACAAAATAAATGTATCAATTCTTATTCTAGTTTATTCATAGACCCAGCCTCTCCTTGTATTAGGAAGTTTTTTAACTGAAATTTTCCCCAGTGGTATTGAGATATAACTGGCATGCATCACTGTAAGCTTAAGGTGTATAGCATAATGGTTTCACTTACAGATATTGTGAAATAATTATCATAACTTTAGTTGCCGGCCATTATCTCATATAGACACAATGAAAAGAGAAACAAAAAAAAAAAAAAAAGAGTAATTTTCCTTATGATGACAACTCTTAGGAGTTGCTCCCTTAACAACTTTTATGTATTTCATACAGCAGTGTTAAATATAGTCATCATGCTGTGCTTTCTTTCTCCAGTACTTACTTATCTTGTTACTGGAAGTTTGTACCTCTTGACTACATTTTTCCACCCCTCTCCCACCCTGTTTTTCCCCACTGCCCCCAAAACTACATTCAAGTTTTTTTGTTATTATATGAACTTTTCTGTCTTTTTTTCTGACTTCATTAAAAGGGTAGTAGATACATGGATTAAGATTGTGAGTTTTGAAGCTCCAGAGACAGGGATCCAGGTCACAGCTCTGCCATTTTCTGGTAAAGATCTTGGATAAATTACTTAATCCAAGTTTCAGTTTTTTGATCCCCAAAATGCAAAAAAAAAAAAAAAATAAATAAATAAAAAAGATAATAATGCATTCTCATTTTCCATTAGATATAAGTTTAAAGGGATTTTTTTTTCAAAAATATTGTTTTGTGCCAGTGTGTTGTATTCTTATTACCAGAAGTTTATTCTTCACATTTTAATGATTGTTTTGGCTTACTGGTATAATTATCATACACATCTGTGCTGGTCAGAGCCCGTTTTCCCCAGGGCCTGCAAAAAAAGCACGGCAGAGTTCAGGTTCTAGATGTTGGATTAGACACAGATACTTGACTTTGAGCTGATTTGTCACCACTTATATGGTCATCTGTAAGGAAATAACACACTATGTGGCTTGTTATAGTCAGTTTATCTGATTTACTCAAAACCCCACTCTCAATTAATGGAAAAAGAGTAAGATACAGAGCCCGTTTTGTCTGGACAACTGAGGACTTAGAAATAATTAAAACTGGCCAGACGAGTAAAATCGGACCTGGGATGAGAATCTTCAGACAATTAATACAAGGCAAAAGGGTGCTACTCAGTACAGAGCTGTTTATGGCAGAAGGTAGAAACCCCAAAAGTCAGTAGAAAATAAGTGATTAAACTGAACTCCAAAGCCATTATTCCTAATATAATTATTATGACTCTAAT